TGAGCTGATAGCACATGGATACAGGAATCTATAATTTATTATTTTTCCCAGTTTTGGACACAAAATACACCAGGAGCAAGTACATTAGCACGGATATTTCAATCGTGGAGAAGGAATTTTTATTCTGTGCAACTAATTCGAAGAATCGCGCAAGGAGCATAAACGCTTGCTTTATCGGTAAAAAAGAAGACTCCAGCATCCCCTTAACGTGTCACCGATCTCGCGGTTCTTCTCAGATAAATATTGTTATCAGCGCTTCTGATCTTGAAAAAAGAACTGTGAGAACGCAGTATGATTTCATCATCTACCCCTTATTGACGGCGCTTCGTTTAGCAGTCGGATGATGTGTCACCGATCTCCTAGACAAAATATCTTGTCCGCATTACACAGTGATGATATATGGGATGGAAATTCCCTATTTTAAGGGAATTTTTTTTATATAAAGGGTTATAGGGATTTTGTGTCCTTTGAGCGGGAATTTCTATAATTTGAAAGTGATAAAGTTTCATGATCAATACCCTGTTATGCATTTCATGTGCGATAGATTTTTCACGTTTGATTCGAATATGTTGTGGCGGGCGTGGAGGAAGATGGAAGCACAGGTCTATTTTCTGTGGCTGAACTAGCATGTTCTGTGCTGCTAGCGTACACTTTTGGAACTTACAGTGAGATAGATATGTGTTTGATATTTGTTGAAAGCGAGAAAGAGAATTCTAGTGAACTCTTTCATCTGATTGGCATATTCCGTTAGATTCTAACATATAGACCAATTAGAATTAAGAGCTCACTGAGCATTCAGTGAGCGGTCGTGCTACCGGATCACAGACTTCTATATATACTACTAGACTGCTAACTCGTTTGAAAAAGTGGACCCCAATTTCGATTGTGCATTATACGCATGCGTCGAGAACCACATCGCGTAACCCGTGCGACATATGCGCATACATATTTTGACAGGTTAACCTAATTAACAGTATTGAATAAATACTTGTTTCCATAGTCTTATTTTCACTGATATTTGTCCATATTTTTATAAAATTGTAAAAATTATCTTTTATTCTTTAATTTTTAATTTGTTCAAAGGTTTTTATTAATACATATATTTGGTCTTAATTTTTTTTCTGTTGTGCCGGTATCGCACGGCACGGTTCGTGGATCCACAAAGGACTTAGAAAAAAATGACACTTACAGTAGTTTAGAAAGCCTTTTTGTAGTTTAGAAAATATATAACTTTAATTTTCACAATTTACAATGGAATTTATTTAATTATCGCAATCATTGCTTTTAATTGAATATTTTCTTCTTTTAATTTTATATATTTTTCATTTGGTTGATCTAACGTTTCTGTTATTTTACGTTTTGTCGTTTTTTAATTGTACAATGAAACTGAAATATGAAAATTGTAAGTTATTAAGAATGAAAATTATAAATAGATATACAAGAAATAAGTTATAATTTAAAAATCAATCAATTATAATTTAGAAGTTGTACACATTTAATATCATATTATCTTTCTCTGTAAGTCTAATTTAACGTAACTGTTAAATGCTACGATAGAAAACTGAAGAAGAAATAATATACATATGACCTAAACCTGTGTAAATCAACACATAATTACAAAATTATTAATTTTCAAACTATTTTAATATATTTAAAAAATAAAAAACATATTTTATAACATTTTTTATCTAAATGAGATTCTTCTTGTGGTTTGTTATCTAATGCTACATTATCATTGGCAGAAAATAAATTTATACATAGACTTATTTGGATCTAAATAAATATAT